TGTAAACCGCTTAGAGAGGCCTGAAAGGCCTATGAAGTGGTATATAAGTCTACTGCTATTGCTATTTGAGGCCACATTTTGCATTTGTATGGATGGTATGAATAGTTAAAAAGTGTGGCTGGTGGGTGGGGAATCTTTGCCTACATAGACAGATTACTATCCTTTCATTGACTTCCCCCACAAATGTGTCCCATGGAGAGAGGGACTGCCATGAAGCAAGAAAAGAGGAAGTCAGCTCTGCAAGGTAGTCCATACAAGAATCACTCCCCAAAGTATTATCTTTTGTTTGTTTGTTTGTAAAATGTATTGGCTGCCCATCTTACTTAGGGTAACTTTGGGTGGCCTATAATCATAAAAGGTAAAAACTGTATAGGTTAAAAGGCATAAATAGGTTAATACCAAAAGCCAAACACTATGGCCCAATTAAAAATGGGAAGTGTAGGAGCAAGAGGGTGGAATCTGTTGTTAATTTATCAACCATCTCTATTGTGAAGCTCCCCCATTGGAGCTCCAAGCTAATTGGCAGAGCCAGGGTTTAGACTCCTTTAGAAGATCAGGGGGGTTGGAGCTGACCTTACTCCAGGGGACAGGATTTTCCAGAGGGCAGGTGCAATGGCCAAGAAGGTCCTTCTCCTGGACCCCACCAGCAAAATACTTGAACCAATGGGGCTTGCAGCATGTCTCCACTGCCAGCATAGATGGGGCTGGTCAATTGCAGTGAGATGAGACAGTTTCTCAAGTAGCCTGGACATGTTCCATTAAGGGCTTTATAGGTGATTATCGACACTTTGAATTGCACCCGGAAGCAAATCAGCAGCCAGTGTTACTTGAAGAACAGTAGTTTTACATGGGTCATTCTTTGGGCCCCAAGAACTGCCTGTGCCACCACACTCTGGACCAGCTATAGCCTCTGAATGCTCTTTGAAAGTAGTTTTAACTTTACCCCAAGGTTACATGAAAGTACATCCCTTCCCCCCTTGCATTTGTAATCCAAAAAAACTAGGGGGGGGGGGGTCCCTAATGATAAATCTGCCACNCAACTTGTGCCTTATATCAGTTATCCTATATGGCCTCCAAGTAAAACAATGGCCTTCTGACAAGGTCTCTGATAAGGATTAATCCCCCCCCCCCTCAACATAGCAGGGGAAGAAAGTTATGGAGTAAACACCAAAAGTGCAGCCGTGGACCAGTTCTGTTTTAACTCTTGTGAGTGATTAGTGGGTTGAGCAAGACTGGTGGATGCCAGTGACACACCTGACCTCTCCATGCTCTGGAGGAACTTCCCAGGAAAGGAGAAACATTGCAAGTGCCAACTGAGTCAGGCTGGTGGGACCAGGAGAGTTTTTGTCTTTTCCTCTGAATTTCTGGAGCTTTTATAGGAGAACCGTGTTTCATCTGTGGGTGGGCCGGGTGACTGCTATGATTTGCACATTCGATGGAAGGAGTGAGTTGAAAGGGGAGGGGATCGAACTAGTGGTGGGATGCAACCAGTTTAACAAATGGTTCAATGAGTGTGCGCTTTGCGTGTGCGTGCAGCATTCAAAAAATGACCTTTTTAAACTTCAAAACCTAATTTCTAGGTCAGCCCTTGTGAGAAAAACAGCTGATACGCAGCAATCTGCTGTGCTGCACGAATCAGCTGAGCTAAAAATCAGGGAAATATAGGACAGGAAAGCACTGGGGTGGAGGGGTGGAGGGATGGGGCCAAATGCTCACCAGAACTACCAGTTTGCCCAAACCGGAGCGAACCAGCTGAACCCCACCACTGGATCAAACCCCAAACAAGTATGGGAAGTTTGGCCAATGACACAATAACCATCATTAATTATAATTATATAATCACTGCAAGCTTCATTCTTTTATTCCAAGACATATCTTTCATTCACCAGAAGGTAATGTGCCTTTTGATAGCATGGACAGATTCCTTTGAAGTTCAAAGCTGACAATTGAAAAACAATAACATACATGCCACAGTAAAATGAAATAAATTGTGAAATTCCTTCCTTCCTAACTCAATTCACCACAAATCAGAAAAGAGCAACATGCACATCTCATTCCTTGCCATCTTCCTCAATGGACCTCCTTCACTGAGATCTACCCCCCCCCCCATTTGCTGCTCAGTTCTGGTGGGGGGAGAGAATATTGACCCCAATATGGCCACTAGATCTATTTTGAAGGGATCAGTCGTTGGAAGGAAGGTTAAAAGCAGCCAGAATATTTTGGCTCTTCCACTTGTGATGATGTTCTGGGGATTCTGGAGATGCTTTTGGTTTAGGTGGAATAATGATAAGAGAGTTGTGTCAGAGTTCCAAGTAACAGCCCATAGGAAATCAAAACTTCAAGTCAGGGTTCCTCAAAGTATAGATTTATTAGGCATGCCATATTGGCACAGCTGGTGAAAACCCGAATCTGAAGTCCCTCAGGTTTTCCCCACCCATGCCCCTCCAGGTGCTGGTGAGAGGATTCCCACCAGAAATAATGTTTTTTGCCTACATATTCCCCTCAGCTATCTCTACTCCCGCCTCCCTTTCCCACAGCTTCAGCCAGCCTGACTTCAGGGTGGTAACCCTGAAGATGCTCAAAGGTGGCTCCAGGGTTGACAGGATGCTTGTTCAGATCAAAGAGTACTGCACTCCTCTACTCACAATAGAATTTCTTATGCCTAGGTGGTGTAGTGGTTAGAATGCAGTACTGCAGGCTATTTCAGCTGACTACTAGCTGCAGTTCAGCAGTTCAAATCTCACTGGCTCAAGGTTGACTCAGCCTTCCATCCTTCCAAGGTGGGTAAAATGAGGATCCAGATTGTTGGGGGGGCAATATGGTGACTGTAAACTGCTTAGAGAGGGCTGTAAAAGCACTGTGAAGCAGTATATAAGTCTAAGTCAATGGGTCTCAACCTTCCTAATGCCGTGACCCTTTAATACAGTTCCTCATGTTGTGGTGACCCCCAACCATAAAATTGTTTTATGTTTTCCGTATTTTTTCAAAAATATGTGTTTTCCGATGGTCTTAGGCGACCCCTGTGAAAGGGTCGTTCGACCCCCAAAGGGGTCCCGACCCACAGGTTGAGAACCACTGGTCTAAGTCCTATTGCTTGCCATTGCTATGCCACCAGGCTTGAAATTTTGGGGCTTGGTCTATCTGGAGCTGTGCCACTTCTAAGCTAAGCCGATCTAAGCATACTACACAGAATTGTCTGCTATAACATCTTGCCTGTCAACGATTTCTTCAGCTTCAACCACAATAACACACGGGCAAACAATCAATACAAACTCAAGGTAAACTGCTTCAAGCTCAATTGCAGAAAATTCGACTTTAGCAACAAAGTGGTCAATGCCTGGAATGCTCTACCTGACTCCATTGTTACATACTCTAACCCTCACATCTTCAACCTCAAACTGTCTACCGTGAACCTCACTCCATTCTTAAGAGGTCCGTAAAGGGGGTGTGCATAAGAGCACCAGCGTGCCTACCATCTCTGTCTTACTGTCCCCATTTATCTGTATTTACTTCCTTTGTTCACGTTAATGTTCATATCTTGTACACGTTTGACAAACAAACAAACAAACAAAGAAGAATATGAAAGAAAGCAACGGCAGAAAACAGAAGCTGCTTACCATTTTTCCATCTGAATCATCAGTGAATATACTCTAAAATGGAAACAAAAGGATACCTTTATAATTATGGTGTGACCATGAATCCTATGAGGATTTGTGTGCGTCAGGTCTGGACCACTACAATTTGTTCAAATCAAGAGTGGGTCTAAGAGAGCCACAGAGGGTATTAATGTCAATGGGATGGTTTGAGCAAAGTAGATCAAGCCATCATAATCAAAAGAAATAGGCAACATTAACAGAGACAGTGATTGCAGTGATATAAGTGATCTGCAGTGATCTAAGAAGGAAATGGGTATTTTCCAATAACCCAACAATCCAAACGTTTAGACATGATTTCTTTTACTATGCTATCAATTGCCATCTTCAATAAGGCATATCGTATATTGATATGATTATACTTGTATTTCATTCCTCAGAATAAGAACATGCCTTTCTTATCATAACATAGGGTGATCAGGACCAAAAACATGCACATTAATTAAGATTGTTCTTTAAAGGTTTTATTATGTTTTCATGAGCAATGGATTTACTTTCCAAAAGACATATTATGAATCAGCTCTTATAAAGAAGTTTTTTTTTCCTTGTATATATTTCTTTAGTTAATTGATAGCTTCAAAAGACTGATGTGACCTCCGATTTTAATTAAGCAAGAATATTCCTTCAAATATTGCCAAGATTTTATAATTTTCTGCTGAAATGTCTGGGAGTGGTGGGTGATTGAAGAGAGTCTTAAGAGAGTTACTGTAGTCATAGAAAGATAACATAGAAAATGTAGAAGAAATGAGACAATTTAAGGGTGATACTTGCCATCAATTTAGACAGTCCTTTGCCATCATTAGCTTTCTTGATAATAGGTATTATCTTTTCTCCAATTGACTGTAAGGGAGAAGAAAAACCATTATGGATTCTTTCAGAAGACTTACCAATGTGTGATACATGTAGGCCTTGCCTGGGCCACAGCAGCCCACTAAAATAAACTGATGACCCCTTGAGGGCCATGGAGGATATTGATGTGAATGACTTCACAACACCAGAGAAGGTACGTAAAGCCACACCAACCATTTGAGGTAGGCAAAGTCAAGGAAAGCGATGGCAGGAATTCAAGGAAAACCACTGAAGTGTTGTTGGGTACTGTAGGAAGGTAGGGCCCACCCATCTCCTAGAAGAATGAAATATTCTAGGGGATATTTTTTAAAAGGCAGAATATTATATTTTCCCTAAAGGAGATACATGTTTCTAAACTCAGAGCCTCAGTTCCCTGCCCTCCAGCAGATATTTTGGTGCCAACCTATCTGCAAGACAAAACGCTGGGCCAGCTTATCTACAAAACAAAAGGCCTTCACTCTCAGGACATAGTAGGATTAGCCCTCTACCCATCTCACCACATGGGACTGGGAAGATTGCATCATGCAGCAAGGTTCAACCAAGCCTGGGATTCAAGAAAAACTTACAATCTGTTGATGTTGACAATGCAAGTGCAGAGAAGAGTAATGAAGATGATTAGGGGACTGGAGGCTAAAACAATGAAGAACAGTTGCAGGAACTGGGCATGACTAGTCTAGTGAATAGAAGAACCAGGGGAGACATGATAGCAGTCTTCCAATATTTGAGGGGCTGCCACATAGAGGAAGGGGTCAAGCTATTTTCTTTCTTTTTAAAAAAGTTTTTATTTTTATTTTAATTGAACAAAAACACAAGAATCATCATTCATTACATCTTGTAGAAAACGTGNCCCAATGCTTCTCCAGGCTCACTTGCCTCTTATCTGAGTGTTGCTTAATCTATGACTCTTCCTCCTGTCTCCTAAGGTCATGCACACATACCATTATGAAGAGCTATACTAAGGCAATGGTCAGATAAGAGGGCCTGAACCCAATCCAAGAAAGTCTATGTGAAAAGCATCTCAGACAAGCCACATCTAGTCCATCAAAAATAAAGGAAGAAAGGAAGAAGCAGATTCAGAGAAATATTTAGGCTTCATTGTTTTATAAAAGAAGATAAAGTTAATATAAACTAATACAATAAATGTGAATAAGAGGAGAAAGTAATCATAGAAAAAGCTAAAAGTAACAGAAAAAAAACATAAAATAGAAAGGAAAGGAGAAAAAAAGGTATAGCTTCCATATTTTTTGACAGCAATTAAAAAAAAACTATTATAAATTTACCTCTTACTTTATGATTGCAACATTAGTCTCTTCTTGCTATAATTTACCCAACCACCAAAATCATAAATCATATTTTTTTCCCTCTTTCATGCAAAAAATCCTTAGAGAGAGATTTGCAAGACACGGTTACTGGAGCAGTTACAATAAAATTAGTCCTGACTTACTGTATAGAACATTGGTTTCTAAGATCTGGTCTATCTTGTGGGGCTGATGTGTTGACATCATTCTTGGATTCCATCCATATCTTCCTACCAACTCTGGGGCAACCAAGGGAATTTTGTCTGATTCAAAGTCAATGTTCTCACCGCTTGCATTTTTCTGTGTATTTTTCCAAGAAATAACCATGCAAACGGCACTGAAACAAAGAGATGTCTAGCAAACATCTGAGACCTGCTCGGTTGGTCTGATCAACAGGAAATTAGCATCACAAATATTTCAATTGGGGCATCGGAACCAGGCCTGGGGTAAATTTATTTCCTGTTCAATTGCTGGTCCTATTGTCACCCTAGTTTTGCTAGCATGCAGAGTTGTAAGCCATGACAATTGTGGACCCAGAGGGGCAGTCATTCTTAGGGGTCAAGAACAATTAAAGGAAAGAGCAATTAGAGGGGAGAAAGAAATAGAGGTAGTTTGAGGATTGAGCAAATCCAGAATCAATTCCCAAAGAGAGATCAAGGATCAGGAAGTGCCAATTTGTCAGTACTGGTCACTTGCCATGTTCATTGTTGGTTCTGTCACATTCAGAGAGTTCAGCTCCATATCTCCCTTCACGTAGATGGCCTTCACGCTTTGTGGTGGGATTCTATGCTTGTAGGTACAGAAGGGTGTCTTGTTCACCAGGATCTGTCAGAGAGCAAATCCGAAGGGATCAAGTCTCAATTGGGATCATACATTTTGTTTGCAGGAAAAACATGCCTATTTTTGCCAGGAAAAAAAACCCACCCAAAGCTGAGCAGAGGTCAAAATGTTTACATGTACAAAGGGAAAAGCCTTTATTTCAATAATGCTTAATTTTCCCCCTAGACCAAAATATATTTCCTTCACTTATATGTTGTCTTCATTTAGTGACTGTATTCAATTAAGACAGTGATGAAAAAGTAACTTTGCAACAAATCCTGGTATTGACAACCATTATAGGACAGTAAAGCAGTGAAAACCTGAAGTTTGATCGTAAGCACAGTCATGTTTTCACATAACGACATCATCAATTAATGAGTAAGTTCCTGGTCCCAGTGGGTGCTAAACAAGGATGACTTGTACATTGCGTAAAAGTATCTGGAAGATATGAACTTAGGAAAGCTGCCATTAAATACTTTCATGCTTCATTCCAGGGGAATGAAGATGCACCTGCAGTCCCAAAGAAGCCTCTGTCACATGTACCAACCAACCTGGTATCCAGCCTCAGTGACATTGAAGATGAGCTCAAACGGCTCGCTCTTTTGGAAGGGCATCTGATGACCCTCTTCACGTCCCCACCTGCCAGACTGAAACGTGTTAAGCACAACTTTCTTCTGATTAAAACGAGGGTTAAAATGGAGGGGAATGTCGACCCTGTTATGCTGGCCACCTGCAAAATCCACATTGAATGATCTGGAAGAGAGAGAGGAAAAAAGAAGAGGAAAATTAAATGAGAGGTGCAGCAGTCTCAGAGTAAAAGTCTGCTCCTGCATTTTTGCTTGAAGAGAAGAATCAAGTTCCTAGCCCTCATTGCTTAGTTCAAGTTGCAAGAAGCAGGGTGTGGAACTATCTGAAGAACCTAGAAAAGCTTTTATCTTGGCATAGACTTTTAATTCTATAAACGAGCCTGTAAAGATGAAGTGAGGAAAGCTAAGGCTCACAATGAAGAAAGGCTTGCCACAAAAGTAAAAATTCACAAAAAAAAACTTCTTCCAACATGTTCAAAAGAAGTAAAGGGTTAAGGAAACAATTGGTCCATTGCTGGGAGAANACATAGGACTCATAAACCTCAACACTTAATGACTAAATCATTAGTCCCGATTGTTGCTAAATGAGGACAACTTGTGCATCACTAAAAATAATATATGTAAGAAGTTAGGAAAGTCAGTGTTAAAATGGTTCATTCCAGACAAACAGTGAATTCTTGGGGCAGAGGGAATGAGGGGCCACTTGCAGTCCCAAAGTAGCTTCTGTTCTTGTACCAACCTTGTATTTGGCCTCATTGACAATGAAGATGACCTCAAAATCCTCATCATTTTTGAAAGGGATCTCATGATGCTCTTCATGTCCCCACCTGCCAACCTGAAATGTGTTGAGCACAATTTTCTGCCAATTAAAGTAAACCTTGAACTGGAAGGCAATGTTGGCCCCATCATGTTGGCCACAGGCAAAGTTCACCTCAAATCTGGAAGAGACAGAGAGAAAAACAAGTGGAAAAATTAATTGGTAGGTGCAGGATGCTCAGAATAGAGTTCTGCCTCCTCCTTTTCCTTTGCCCTGAAGCTAGAATACATATGATGCTCCTTGTTGGTTTAGCCGAAGAATCAGGTTCCAAGCCCTCGTGACTTAGTTGGAGTTTTAAGAAGCAGGATGTAGAACTATGCAAACAATTAAGAAGAACTTTAATCTTGTGAGACAATTTGAGCTGTATAATTTACCTTTAGAACATAATAATCTGATGACTATTATTTTGAGACAGATATACTTTGCCCTTCCTTTGAGACTGCAAACGAATGTTACCTTTTTGGATGTCTGAGTACTGCACCTTGCACGTATACAGACATCCCAGGTCGGAGACCACCAGAGACAGGTTGATTATAAGGAAGTGCCTGGAAGACAGGAAATGATGAACTTAACCAATGACCCTACAGCAAAACACAACTTGGACTTTTCATCTGTCCAACCACAATCTGTGCCTTGTACCAGCTTTTCCATGTGGTTTCCAAGTCAAACAAAGACCTCCTGAGGGGGCCTCTGATAAGAATTAATCCTCCAACATGGCAGGGAAAGGAAGGCACAGAAGAAGCACCAGAAGTGCAGCCATGGAGAGGTTCTGCTTTAGCTCTTTCAGTTGCTCAGTGGATTGAGCAAGACTGGCTGGATGCCCAATCGCTCACTGCACTGGAGGAACCTCTAAAGAAAGAAGAAACATTATAAGTGCCAACTGAGTCAGGCTGGTGGGACCAAGAGAGTGCTTGTCTTTTCCTCTGCACTTCTGGAGCATCTGTGGGCAGATGGGATGGCCCCAGTAGACGCAAGCATTTTGCAACTTTTTAAATTTTCAACACATACCTACTCATGCACTAGGTATAGAGGGCAACACAATCACACCAAGACATAATCGCCAGTACCTGAATGCATTTGGGAGAATGCCAGTTATGTCCATGCCCCTGAATTTGTTTGGCAGATACACCAACGTTTCCTTGAAAAAATGCAAGCAATCAAGCCCATGGCCCCATTCCTTGCTCTTCCTGAGGAATCCATAGTTGAAATGTTAAACCAGCCTCTGTGGAGCCATCAGGGAAGATGGGCATTCAACTATCTCCTTCTGGTCTTTACTTCTCAAGGGTGAGTGCAGAAGAATCCAGTAATGCTTCAGATGTTTTTTTTTTATCAAGTGCCATCTGTCTCAACAGCCCATTCAGATGTGAGTTGGAAGAGACCTTGGAGGTCTTCTAATCCAACCCCCCCCCCCTAGACAGGAAACCCTATACCACTTCAGACAAATGGTTATCCAACATCTTATTAAAAACTTCCAGTGTTGGAGCATTCAATTGAATACCAAATATTATGAAGGGATCGAAGAGTTGAAGAGTTTGGGGAACTCTAGCTAAGGAGATGGATTTAAACAGTGGTGGGATTCAGCCAGTTTGGACCAGTTCAGGTGAACTGGTAGCTCCGATGATCAACTGGGAGAAAACTGGTTCGCTCCGATGATCAGTTGGGCCCGCCTGCCTCCTGTGCTTTACTTAACTATATCCTCTCAGCTGACTCATGCAGTAGAGCAGATTGCCCCACCTCAGCTATGTTACTCCCCAGAAGCAACATGGAAGGTATGTTTTATTAAAACTGTGAAGCACACAATCACCGAACTGGTTGTTAAACTACTTCCTGCAACTGTTCTTCATATGTTTCGGCCTCCAGTTCTCTAATCATCTTTATTGCTCTTCTCTGCACTCTTTCTAGAGTCTCAACATCTTTTTTANTATAGGTCTTTTTCCCAAGTCACAATTTGCAATTTATATCCAAATTTCTTTTACTGGGTCAAGCTATTTTCTAATGCACCTGTAGGGCAGACAAGGAATAATGGATGGAAACTGAACAAAGAGAGGTTCATCCTAGAAATAAGGAGAACAATCAACCAAAGGAACAGAAGTTGCCTTTGGAAGTTGTGGGAGCTTCATCATTGGAAGTTTTCAATGATGAGATTGGACTGCCATCTGTCAAAAATGGTATAGGGTCTGCTTGGGCAGGGGGTTGGACTAGATGACCTACAAGGTCCCTTCCAACTTTGTTAATCTGTAAGATGCATTCTGGAAGATGTGAAATAACAAAAGATGTGAAATAACAAAAGGATGCATGGCAAGAAGAATATTATCCAAAGGAAGGACAGAAGATGAACAAAGTCTACTCACTATTAACTCAAGAATATTAACTTGATCCGTACCCATAGCCTGTAAGGGAAACCAAAGATATACTTTTATTTTGAAAAGACATCACACATTATTTTCTAAGTGTGGCACCACTGCCATCTTTGATAACACATATGTAAATTGCTTCATTCTATAAATAAGTTACATATGGTTCTTACCAGAACAGGGACTGATAGGCCACAAAAGGCATAAATGAATGAATTGTGTTTTGAAACATTGTTTCATTTTCTTTTCATTATTCTTCCACTTTCATACAACCAAAAACTGCACAGAGAATCCAGTGGAATAATGGCTGCATTGAATTTCTCCCTCAAAAGATAAGATGCTTGCCAACAAAAAAATAATTAATAGAAAGGGCAGTTGGGGTTCCAGATGTTTGGGAACCTGACATTAAATCTCTACATTCCCTATTTGTAGTCCTCCACTTATAACTGTTTGCTTCGTTACCCTTTGAAGTTATGATTGACTTCTCTTTGGGTATTATGACCCAGTTTGAAAGTTCTGATGGCCACCCCCACCCCTGTGGTCACATGGCTGCATTTCAACCAATCAGTGACAGTGGCAGTTTATTTAAGGGATAAATTGTTTCAATCAGTAGGTAAAGGAAATGCTTTGACCCTGGATGCTCTGTTCATGCTTTGGAGATTCTGTAGATGCTTTCTGGGAGGGGTAGAATCACAAAAATGGGGCTTCAAAGCATGCAAGAAGAATATCACTCAACAAAAAGGCAGATGACGAAGAAAGAGTTACTCACCATTAATTTCCCAATTTCTTCTGCATTCAAAGCATTCTAGAAAGGAAACAAGCACATCAAATTTTATTTTGGTGTGAAGACCCACAGGACCTCTCTGTCCCTGACATCACTACCATCTTGGATATCATTTATGTGAATTGCTGCTCCCCTCCCCTTAGAAAACACACCTTTCTTATCACAACAGGGAGTATTCAATCTAAAAAAAAAAACAAATTTTAATTAAGAGTATTCTGAGGCTTCTTTCTTCTTTTCTTTCTCTTCTGAACTTTCTGCAACATTCACAGAACCAAAATATGCCTGAGAAATCTGAAGGATAATGCTTGTATTCATGCACAAACTGGTAAGATGATTGCTCAGAAAAGGGAAGCTTTAACAGACATAGCATTTGAGGGACAACACTGTTAGCACTACTGATTCAGATTTCATGCCAGAACTTAGATTCACTTTAGTTATACACCTGCATAGGTAAGACATACTTTAATTGTTTCTTTAATTCTGCTTTACATAGCCACCGATAGCCACCCTTTCTTCTACCCCTGCGATGGCGAACCTATGGTGTTGAGAGCCATATTTGCCGGCATGCAAGCTGTCAGCTCCACCATACATGCACACACTGGCCAACTGATTTTCAGCCCTCTGGAGGGCTGGGAGGTCATTTTCACCCTCCCCAGGCTCTGGAGACTTTCCTGGAGCCTGGGGATGGAGAAAACTGCTTTCCTTGCCCCTCTTCAAAGGAAATACCAAGCTCTTCTTCCTCCAAGTAAGTTCAAATGTGAAATATATTCATTATTAAATATGAAGACGTATGTCTCCACCTAGGTGTGCTCTTCCTGATTTTCAATGTAGCCATGTGTGGAAAAAGCGTAGGGGTGGGATTCTACCAGTTCAGACCGGTTCAGCCAAAGCAGTAGCTCCGACAATCAGCTGGGAGCGAACCAGTTTGCTCTGATGACCAGGTGGCCTGCTTGACCCTGCCCTTTACTGACCTATATCTCCTCAGCTGCTTTGCATGGCAGAACGGATTGCCGCACCTCAGCTATGTTACTCCCCAGCAGTAACACGGAAAGTAAGTTTTCTTAAAAGTGTGCAGGCGCACACAGCGCACGTCAGATGTGTGTGCTCTTAGAGCATGCACACAATCACAAAGCCAGTTGTTAAACCAACAGGATCCCACCGCTGAAAAAGGGGCGGATGAAATCCCGCAATAACATCTATTTCCTCTTCCAACTGCTACAACAATGTCAGCTCAGATCCAGAGCACTTTCGAGTCAGAAAAAGTTCCTAAAAAGATCTAGGCCACCCTGAGCCCTGAAAACCCTTATTTATACCACTCAAGCTACCCCCCACCCATCAAACATTTGTGACTGTTGGAGGCATCTTTTTCTTTTCTTTTTTTTAAGTTTTTTTCCCATATAAATATCTGCAAGTATACCATTACATCTTAACAAACACTATTATGCATTATCCAATATTATATCAATTCTTCTCACTGACTAACCACAATAACTCTCATTTGCTCTTCTGCTGTCCATAAACCATATTATACCCTGTTCCACAGCAGCACTACCTTCTCTCCCTCTCTCCTCCACCCTACCTCCTTCCTTCCCTCTACCATCCCTCTCTTCTCTACTTCCGCTTCCTCTCTCCTTCTCCTCTCTCCTCTTTTCACTCCTTCTCTCTCTCCTACTCTTTTCCTCACCTCTACTTCCCTCTCTCCTATCACTTCTCTTACCCTCCAATCCTTTCCTCTCTTCCCTTCCACACTCTCTGCTTAGCTTACATGGTGTATTTCAGCCTCTGAGTAGACTGAATTTAGTATTGATGCTGTTAATAGTCACATTCCAATAACCGTCTTTCATATTAATAATTTTGTACATCCTCCTTTTAAATGTATACATAGATAGCTATTCTATTATTGTTCCCCATCCCCCCAAAATGTATCTTTTTTTGGACAAAGTGTGGACCGGGTTCAAACATCATTTCACATAGTTTAAAATTCATGTCCATATTTCCAGCTAGCACCCTAATAGTTTTACATAGCTAAACATCATTAAACACTCATAACTTTTTAATTTCTTACTATAACATCAATTACTAATCCTCATTACAATTATTTTCAAGTTCCCCATCCATTTATACTTTTACCAATCCATTTTCTCATTTTACACATCCTTAACTATGACCAGGTAATCATTTCCTGACAAGACTGAATGGCTGTGGATGTTGCCCCCTAAGGACAGCCCATCTAGTCCGTCCTTAACCCTATGGGGAGAAAAATTGCCCCCCTCAGAGGGGGTTCGCAATTTGGGGGTCCTCCTGGACCTGCAGCTGACCTTGGAACACCACCTGTCAGCTGTGACCAGGGGGGCCTTTGCCCAGGTTCGCCTGGTGCACCAATTGCGGCCCTATTTGGATTGGGAGGCACTTCAGACAGTCACTCATGCCCTCATCATCTCAAGACTGGATTACTGTAATGCGCTCTACTTGGGGCTGCCCCTGAAAAGTGTTCGGAAACTGCAATTAGTCCAGAATGCAGCCACGCAAGCGATACTGGGTGTGCCAAGGTACACCCACATCACACCTATCCTCCGCGAGCTGCACTGGCTGCCCATTGGTCTCTGAACACGATTCAAGGTTATCACCTTTAAAGCCCTACATG